AAAAAAAAAAAAAAAATCGCCCCAAACTGGAAACAATGGGAATGCCAGGTGACTGGTTCCTCTGTTAGATGGAACATGAGTCGGCCATAAAAAGAAACAAAGTCCTGATGATGTACAATATGGATGAATCGCAAAGGATTGTGGCCAGTGAGACTCAGAAGCCTCGTGCCGAGTGATTCCATTTCTATGATGTTCTGGAGAGGGCAAATGATACTGAGAGCAGATCAGTGCTGGTGGGGGGCTGAAGGTGGGGGGTTCTGACGACAAAGAATGTTGAGGGAGAATTTTGTGGGGCAACGAAAATGTTCTGAAACTAGACTGTGGTGAAATTTTCCAAAGCTCATAGAGATGGCTCACTAAAAAGACCAAATTGTACTGTATATTAATTTTTAAAAGCAGAGAAAAGTATGTTAGGCAACATACACACAGAGAGATTCCTGGACCCCCACCCCCAAAGGGGCAAATTTATTAAGTCCTGGTGGAGCCCAGTCAGTTATGTTTCTGTCGGGTTCTCAGGGGCTGCTGCTCTGGAGAGCAACTTTGGGAACCTCTGCACTATTCTGGTCTACTTTCTTTATGTTGGCAATGTATGGACAATTTTCTAATAACTTAAAGAAAAACCCCAAGGGACAGATTTCACTGCAGATTAGACACATCCTAGAGAGTAGAAGAGGCAGGAAGTAGAGAGAAGGGTGGGGGATGGGCAGTTCTAAGGTCCGTACATCTATTAAGCATTTCAACAGAGAAAGAGAGGTGAGGGAATCAACTTTGGCAGAAATAAGGAGGTATTCTTGAGTCAAAGCTAAGGGCTACAGATTTATCTTGGGCTGCCTGGAATGTCTGAGAATTTGGCTATGAACTGTAAAGAGAAGTACTCATGAAGAAGCATTAATCAGGTCCACTCGACACTGAGCTTGCTTATGGTGAGAGCTGTTCCCCACCAGCTGTGGGTCCCTCCATGGAGGACTCCCCGTCCCAGCAGTTTTGGAAGCACAGCCCTCTGTGGTAGTGTCAGTGGAGGTTGATTCTAATCCAGATTGTACAAGTCTCCAGCTGTCTGACTGTGGGCATGAGTTGACCCTCTCTGAGCCTCAGATTTATTTTCTATAAAATGGAATATTAACCCGTGATAATACCATTCGTGGGGTCATTGAAAGATGGCTGATCACAGAATGGCTGTGAAGCTACCGTAGGTAGCGGGGTGCTTAAAAGAACGTTATTCAGCCTTAAGAGCAGTGACCGAGCCTTCCTTGGGAGGAGCAGCCCGTGAGGATTCTCCAGTGGAGAATCAGGGAGAGATGGTGGCAGGAAGGGAATCATAGGCCACATCCATGGAGTAGAAAATTACCAAAGCAGAAGGGGTTTGCCAAACTGGAAATGGAGTGGAGCTAAGGGACTTCTCTCTCTCTTTCTCTCTCTCCACACAGACGATGGGCCCTACTCCAAAGGAGGCAAGGACGCAGGGGCCGATGGGGCCCTGGTGTGCCGCAGGCAGAGCATCCCAGGTACTGGGTCTTCTCTCTTCCCCTCGTTTCTGCCCTGGAGACACGAGAGTCCTTGGTGGGGGTCAGAGAGCATCAGCACTGCCGCTAACTCGCTCCGTGACCTTAGGCCACTTTCTTGGCCTCTCTGTAAAAAGGAGATGATATCACCTGGGGTGATGCAGCAAAGTGTCCCGCTTACCAGGTGTTAGCCTCCCTTGACCTAGAGCTGGGGGCCCAGGACTGCCCCATGCTACCTGCTCAAATATATGCCCCCGTCTGTTGGCAGAGGAGTTCCGAGGGGTCACCATGGTGGAGCTGATCAAGAAAGAAGGCAGTACGCTGGGACTGACCATCTCAGGTGGCACTGACAAGGATGGAAAGCCCAGGGTCTCCAACCTGAGACCTGGGGGGCTTGCGGCCAGGTGAGAAGTAGGCTTGGTGGGCAGGAGGAAGTGGGTGCATAGGCAATGTGGGGGCCCAGGGTCAGTGGAAAACATACACATGTTTAGGCTTTCTGCAAAGCATGGAGGCAATCATTTCTGGAGCACCCAACAGCTTGGTGTCTGTGGAGCAAAGGCCTCCAGTGGCAGCTGCAAATCTAGCTCCTGGCTTGCCTTTCACTACACCTGGGGCTGACTGGACATAGCGTCTTCCAGACCTTGGCATGTGCAGTTCTCTCTGCCCGAAGGCCTGTTCCCCACTGCATCCTCCTGGCAGACTTCTCTTCATGCCTCCACATTTGACACAGAGGACATTGCCCTGGGAACCCCTCCCTGACCCATGGCCAAAGCAGCTGCCATCCTCTGCCCACTCAGCCCTCTGTGCACGCTTCTGCACACAGCCCCGATTTTCCCTATCACTTAGCTCTGTGGCTCCCTTAGCCCATAAGGCCTCACAGCTAGCCTCTCCACAGCTGCCCCTGAGCCTCACACACAGTGGCCGCTGGTAAGTGTCCAGGTAAACAGAGGAAAGATTGGTGGGAATAGGAAGGGCATTAGGGAATAGCAAGAAACATGATGATCTGGCCCTCTGCAGGCTTGTCGGAGGCCAGTCAGAGCTATCATTATGAGAGTGACACCTAGCACAAGGAAAGGCCAGCAGGCCAGCATAGGGGGAAGCCTGGAGGCCTGGGTGTCAACAGGCCTATGTTAGAATCCATGCTCTCCTGCTTACTGTGTGACTCTAGACAAGTGTCTGACCTCTCTGAGCCTCAGCTTCCTCATTTGTAAAATGAAGGTCCTGGCTGGGGGCGGTGGCTCTTGCCCGTGATCCTAGCACTTTGGGAGCCTGAAGCAGAAGGATCACTTGAGCCCAGGAGTTTGAAGTTACAGTGAGCTGTGGTCACACCACTGTAGTCCTGGGCCTTGGCAACAGAGTGAGACTATCTCTAAAAAGTAGTAAACAGATAAAATAAAACAAAGGACCAGAGATCACACGGATTCCACAGGAAGGTGGGTGTGAATGCTAATGCTGCCCCAGCTGGCACCTCTCACCTCTGTGTGTGCCCTGGCCTTCTTGCTACAGGAGTGATCTGCTGAATGTTGGCGACTACATTCGGTCTGTGAATGGGATCCACCTGACCCGGCTCCGCCACGATGAGATCATCACTCTGCTGAAGAATGTGGGCGAGCGCGTGGTGCTGGAGGTCGAGTATGAGCTGCCCCCGCCCGGTGGGTGCTCTTGGATGGGGAACTTTCTCCACTGCCTTGGTTGTGGGTGGACACAGCTGCCTCCCTACCAGGGCCTGGGTGGTGGGGGACCATGCCAGATGGGGTGGGTGGAACCTGGAGACTGGCTACAAACATCTGTGCCTCCCCTGGGGCCTTTGGCTGCAACTGCAGGACACTGTCACCAGGAGGTTGTGCAGCTCTGTTTATAACCTGTTGCCGTTTTGCTTATTTAATTTCCAGATGCTTCTCCTTTGGGGGGGAGTTTTGGGGAACAGTGGCTGAATAAATTATTCCTTGCCACCACTCCCCAAACCCAACCACCCTGCACTAAATACAGTGGTCCAGGATTTTATCTAGCTCTGAATTTTCAAAGTTGGTCTAAACTCCAGAAGTGTGAGTAACTGGTCTCAGCCGACCAGTCTCAGTGAGCATGGGCAGGCCTTTTCCTCTCTCTAAGTGGTGGACTAAAAGGGAATTAGGGGAGAAGGTCCTAAGCCTCACTTTATCCTGCTTGTGAAATGGGAGGGATTTTCTCTCCTTGTAATCTCTGTGACTGATCACCCAGCTGCCCTGGAACGAGCTTTGGGGGCATCTGCTAGCTCGGAGATGCGACTGAGGGACTCAAAAGAGTCCTCCGTTTCTCCTCAGCCCCTGAGAACAACCCGAGGATCATTTCAAAGACAGTGGATGTCTCCCTCTACAAGGAGGGCAACAGCTTTGGCTTTGTCCTCAGAGGTCAGTGTGAGAATTTCCCTTGAAGTTGGGGAGGCAAAAAAGAGGCTAAAGCTCATTCTGTGTGTGTGCTGTTCTGCTTTGCATGTGATATATGTACCTTGCTTCTTTAGAGAACTAGGTCCATTAAGATCAGGGGTCCTCAAACTTTTTAAACAGGGGGCCAGTTCACTGTCCCTCAGACCATTGGAGGGCCAGACTGCAGGCCCTGGGTCCAGTCGGCTGCTAAGCGGGACAGGTAGTGGCTAAATGTCCTAGGAGGGCCGCATGTGGTCCCCGGGCAGTAGTTTAAGGACACCTGATTAAGATAATTGCCAAATGGAGAAATTTGCCAGTCAATGAAATATGCATGTTTAGGGAAAGAGGGAAGAGAAAGTTGTATCAGAAAATGATGGTGGCTCGGCGCCTGTGGCTCAAGCGGCTAAGGCGCCAGCCACATACACCTAAGGTGGTGGGTTCGAATCCAGCCCAGGCCCGCCAAACAACAATGAGGACTGCAACCAAAAAATGGCCAGGCGTTGTGGCAGGCGCCTGTGGTCTGAGCTACTTGGGAGGCTGAGGCAGGAGACTCACTTGAGCCCAAGAGTTGGAGGTTGCTGTGAGCGTGATGCCACAGCACTCTACCCAGGGGGATAGCTTGAGGCTCCGTCTCAAAAAAAAAAAGAAAAGAAAAGAAAATGGTGGTAAAAGCTGCTACTGAGATAGAGAACAAAGTTTGGGGCTGCTTAGCAACCCCGAGCAAAAAAGGAAATGTGATGAGAGCACAGGAAGAGAAGAGAGAGTGATTGGGTCATGTTTCCTACCCCTTCCCCCAACTCTGGGAGGAGAGGCAGTTATTGCTGGTTTATCATAAGAGGGTCCAGGTTTTATTGAGGGACCCTGCTGAAGGACTAGGTCGGTACCTCTGGGCATCTGGGAAGAGGTGGGTAGATGATTCCTGCTTCTCATTGCTCTTTGTCTAGGAGGTGCCCATGAAGATGGGCACAAGTCCCGCCCACTTGTCTTGACCTACGTGAGGCCAGGTGGCCCTGCTGACAGGTGAGCCTGAGGCATCAGAAACTTATACACGCACTGACCTCCCCCAGCTCCCCTGTGAAGAAGGTGGCCCCTGCCCATTCCCACCATCAGACTGAGGCCCAGAGAGGGAATACTCCTTGCCCGGTCACTTGGGAAATTGGCAGAGCAGGGATGCAACCCCAAATGACAGTGACCTCAAACTCTTTCTTCCCCCACATGCCACTGTCTCAGGGGTTGGAGCACGTGGTGGAGAGCCAGCTTGGTGTCATTTCAAGGGAAATGATCCTTAGTTCTTCCTGTCTGAGGAATGGCTCCAATATTGCAGCCCCTAGCAGTTGATATATGACAGATTTGGGGGGATGGTGACTGCCATTGCGACCTTTGACTTCCAAGTCCTGGCTGCACTGCCCAGACCAGCTCTGCCAGGGCTCAGCCCAGAAGGACCAGGAGGAGAGAATGTGGGGAAGGAACACACCCAGTTCCAGCCCCTGACCCCATGACCTCCCCAGTGGGAGATTCCTGGCCATTTTAAGAGAAGCCTAGAAGGGCCTTGTCAGAAATCTAAATATGTCCTTGGGACAGGGGCCCTGTGTTGAGCTATTCATAGAACCTCCCAGAATAGCTTTGGCCACCTGTTGGAGGAGGCATTCCAGGGCGGGGATTTGACCCAAAGTGAGGTGAACTCGACTACGGCCCCTCCCTCCATGCCCCTTCTGAGTTCTTTCCCAGGCGTGTTTGTCTCCAGGCCAGAATCATGGCTGAGGAACCAGGGTGGGTGCAGGGGGAAGCCTTAGTCCACTCCACTGCTGCGGCGGTGAGCTGGCCTAACTCGCTGGTGCCCTCTCTGGGCCCTGGTACTCTCTCTGTCCCTGGGGCAGGATCAAGGTGGGTGAGGAAGACATCCTGAGGCTTTGGCCGAGCCCATGAAGCCCTGCTCTTTGCAGGCGTCAGAGCCACCCTGGCCTCTGTCTTTATGTGCCTTTCTCTTACTTGGCTACCTACTCCTAGGGTTGTTCATTCTGTCACTCATTCACTCACACCTTCACCCACCACCCTCCTTTGTCCTCCACACCCCTTCTTCCCAGCTCCCTCCCAGCCTGGTGCTCTCACTGGGCTAGGCTGGCTGATCAGGTCCTTCCCGCAGGGAGGGCTCCTTGAAGGTGGGCGACAGGCTGCTCAGCGTTGATGGGATCCCACTGCACGGGGCCAGCCATGCCACTGCTCTGGCCACCCTGAGGCAGTGCAGCCACGAGGCACTCTTCCAGGTGGAATATGACGTGGCCACCCCCGGTGAGTGGGGGCCTGAGGGTGAGGAAGGCCCAGGGTTGGGGGCTGGGGAAGGGAGTGGCCACGGATCTTCCCCATGGCAAAGGCTGTGTGACCTTGGGCCGGTCACTTAGCCTCTGTGGGCAATAAATAGTTATGTACCAGGCATTGTTCGATGCACTGGGATCCAGCTGAGAGTAACAGAGATGAGATCTCTGTTTTGGCCAGCTAGCATTCTGGTGGAGAGAGGACAGTAAACAGAATGGATAAGCTGTGGTGTGTGTCAGATGGCAGTAAGTACCGTGGAAGAGAAAAGAAAAAGGCAGAGGAGAGAGATGGCAAAGGCTGGGAATAGGGATAGTGAGGGAATTTGTGAGGGAGTAGGTGTCTGGAAAGAGCATTCCAGGAAGGGTGTACAGTTAAGTGCAAACGTGTGGGGCAGGAGCCTGGCTGACATGTTTTGTGTCACCCTGAAGGGGATGCTGTGGCTGGGGCAGGTGAGGACAGAGGGCAAGTGAGGGTGGAAGCCAGGAGGCCCCAAGAGCCAGTGACTGGAGCAGGCTGATTGCAGGGAAGTGTGGAGAAGGGTTGGATTCAGGAACTGTGGCGAATGTTGAGCTGGCCTGACTCCCTGACATTTGAACATGGAGGACAAGGGCAGAAGAAGCTAAGGGTGATTATAAGGCTTTGATTTCCAGCCACTTGAAGGGTTAATGAAGATGGACTGTAGTGGATGTTGTAGTGTAGTGCTGGGATACAATAGGCTGTCAATAAATGCAAACAAATTTGTATTGCCCAGCAAAAACCTGGACCAGAGCCCTCTAGAACTGAGCTCCTGCCCTTCCTCCACTGCCAAGGGGCTGTGTGATACTGGACACGGCCTTCGCCTCTGTGAACCTCAATTTTCCTGTCTGTCAAGGGGGTATAATAATCCCTCTCTTGGCAAAATTTAGATGGCCAAGTGAGGCTGGAGAAGAAAGTATAATACTTGCATTTCTAACTTCTTTTTTTCCATCGTGCCAGACACAGTGATCAATGCTTCGGGACCCTTGATAGTGGAAATAGTCAAGACGCCGGGGTCTGCCCTGGGGATCTCGCTCACCACCGCCTCCCACCGGAATAAGCCGCTCATCACCATTGACCGCATCAAGCCAGCCAGTGTGGTGGACAGGTGAGGCACGTGCCCTTCTGCTACACGGGGGATGAGCAGGGGGAAATGGCCCACAGCTCTGTCTGGCCTGGACCAGCCTGTCCCTTTTCTCCCCTGCCTGGCCAGGAGTGGGGCTCTGCACTCTGGAGACCACATTCTGTCCATCAATGGCACCAGCATGGAACACTGCTCCCTGCTTGAGGCCACCAAACTTCTGGCCAGCGTGTCGGAGAAAGTGCGACTGGAGATCCTGCCCATCCCCCAAAGTCAGCGGCCTCTGAAGCCCTCAGAGGCAGGTAGGTCCTGTTAGAATTCAGGGACCAGACCTCAAGACGGGAGAGGAGAGCACCAGGCTTCAGAGGCCTAGGACCCAAACCCTGGGCAGGGTGGCAGAGCCAGGCTAAAATTTACTGGAACAGACATCCATTTGCACATGTGTTCCATGCAGGGAAGCTTTCTTCAAGGAAGCTCAGACAGTCCCGTGAAGCAGTTAAGGGTGGGGACATGAGGCAGGGAAATAGTGTGGTGGTTTGAACTAACCCTCTGCTGGACTAGGTGCCCCCAAAGCTTGTTTCATCACTGGTTGCATTAATAGAAGTATAAGAGCTATAACAAGGGAGGGGAAGGCTCTTCTGTGCTACTCAGAGCTTGGATTTTGTGCTCATCTCAAGGGCCAGAGGAGGCAGCCAGGCAGCCAGACAGGGCCTGGAATTTCTCCTGTGAGGAGGCAGAGTCTCCCAGGTAGGAACAGGGAGCTGGGTGCCAGACATTCCAAGAGCAAAGGAGCAGGTAGTCTGGGGGTCTAGAGGGCATAAATGGGACCCGAGCAGGGTGGAGGGTGGTCTCACGGTGAGGCAGCTTCCAGCTCAGGACAGGAAAGTGCCTCCAGCCACCTAACAGTTGGGCTTTGGGTTCAAATCCCATCTTTGCCCTCAGTAGTTAGACACTGCCCTTGACTCTCTGAGTCTCAGTCACCTCATGGTGAAAGGATGTGAGCACCTTGAATGCACAGACTTGGGGAGGTTAAAGGGGATAAAAGACAGAGTACAGCCCATGGCTGTGGTCAGGGTGGTCAGGCTGTGGATCCCAGCCCTAAGGGCAGAGCCTTGAGTCCACCGAGTCCACCCTTTGCAAACCCGATCTTCTGGAAGAGAATGAAATCCCCCACATCAGACATGGGTGGACAGGCTTTAGGGAGAGGTCATCTCTGTGGTCTTAGCCAGTGTCTGAAAAGGTCCCGTTAAGCCACAGCCAAGGCGGCTGACAATACAGACAGTCTCAGGGCTTAGAATAACATTGTTGTTGTCCCTGCATTTATTGGGTATCTGCTGTGGGCAGGGTGGTGCTGGGGTCTTCATATCTCATTTCATCCTCATGACCACTCTGGGAGGTCAGCATGACAATCGCCTTGCTTTACAGAGGACACTGAGGCCACATTACAAGGTTACATACCTGTCTACAATCCCCTGGCTCTCATTAACTCAGCCTCTGCTAGGGGCCAGCCACTGCTCCTGTTATCTCATTCTGACCCTCCCCACTGCCCTAGAGGGTAGCCACTCTCTGGGTCCCATTTTACAGATAATGACAGTGAGACACAGAGAGGCTCCGTGGCCTGTCCTAGTCCCGCCGCGGGTTAGTGATGGAGCTGAGATTCCATCTGGGCAGTTGGCTCTGTGGTTGGCCAAGTGGGGTGCTGCTCAGGGGACTGAGCTAGCAGAGCCCTCTCCTATTCACCTGAGGCCACAATGGACCAGGCCGAGGCCTATAACAGAGGGCAGAGCCAGGATGGCCTGGGGCCGTCTGGGAGGTCATGTCGTGTGGTGGCTAGTTTGGGAAGCAAGTGCAGAGGCAGGACCTGGCAGTGGTCAGTAGGGTCTCTGGGGAACAGATGCTAAGATGTAGCAAGAACACCGAGTCCTGGGGTGAGGCCTGGGAGGGCTGCTGCAGGAGAAAGTAGGGGCAACCTCAGGATGAGAAGTGGGTCTGAGCAGCCTCGGCCAACCCAATAGGGAGACCTGGGGCAAGAGCTTCCAAAAGAGCCCAGCATGGGGTAGGGTTGGCCCTAGCACCCCAGGTGCTCAGCCACTGGCCAAGACTGCCCTGGCTGGGGTTCTGCTGCCAGCCCCAAAGTTACTGTAGCCGGATGCTGTACCCCCATACACTCTTCACCAGCTCTTTCTCTGAGAAACTCCAAGGCAGCTCCAGAGCTGGCTGCCTGGGTTCAGATTCCTGCTCCACCACCTCCCAGCTGTCTCTCAGGCTGCTTTGGGGCCAAGGAAGGAGACTGGAGCTGGCATCCTGAGCATAGCGCCCAGCATGTAGGGGGCATCTAAGACATGCGAGTGGAGCATTTAATGCCATGCTGGCTCAGGGGAAGTGCACGGATCTCTTGGTCTCTGCTTTCCCCCCTTCACAGTGCGCTCAGCCCCTGATGCCTGCACTTCTCTCTCTCCCCTTTCTCTCTCCCCCTTTCTCTCCCCTCTTTCTCACTGGCTACAGTGAAAGTGCAGAGGAGTGAACAGCCACACCGCTGGGACCCCTGTGTGCCCTCCTGCCACAGCCCCCGGCCCGGCCACTGCAGGACGCCCAGCTGGGCCATGCCTGCTGGCCAGGACCAAAGCCGATGTAATGTGTCACCCTGCTGCTGCCTGGCTGTTCCCTCTGGGCTTTCTGAGGGAGGGTTGTGCCTGCTGTGTAGGGGGAAAACCTGGACTCAGAGAGATGGGGCCTGCCATGGCATCTAGAATAACAGTGATGGGACGGGCCCCTGTCCCTAGGAGCTGGGTTTCACCAGCTCTGTGGAAACCCTACAGTCTTTGAGGCCCAGAAGGGGAAAGAGACGTGCCTGGGGTCACTCAGCAGATAACTGAAGTGAAAGGGGGAAGGTATCCCTGTGTCTCCCTGCGGTTGGGTGCTTCCCACCACCCCTTGTGCGGCAGAGCAGAAGGGCTCTGCTGGGGCTCACGGGCTGTGCTCTACCTCCCCAGCCTTGTCTTCAACTCCCTTCTCCTCACCGACCATGAACCATGCCTTTTCCTGCACCAACACCAGCACCCTTCCCCGTGGATCCCAGCCTATGAGTCCCCGCACTACGATGGGGAGGAGGAGGCAGCGAAGAAGGGAGCACAAGAGCTCATGTAAGGCTGGGTCTCTCCCCTCCCTTTGGGGCTGCCTGTGAACAGGTGGGGGTTGCCAAAGGGTGTGTGTGTCCGTGGGATTGGGCAGGGCCCCAGGTGTGTACGTGAGAATGGTAAATAACGTGAGTGGTGCACAGGCTGCCACAGATGGTTGAACAGGTTGTACACTACACAGGGGCACAGTTTGGGGGGGGGGGGGCAGTTACTCTGTATACTTTTGGTCTCGCATATTTTTATTATGAAGAATTCCTAGTAGTTGGTGGCAAAGTATCTTGAGGAAAAAATGCCTCTGTAGATTTGCATGAAAGTTTCACAGTAACTCTATTTCGTTTTTTTTTTTTCATTCAATCAATCCTTCTGATTCATTCAAGGAAAAAGTCTCAGTAAGGCATTACCACGCCTTCATCATCTCGCTGATTCTAGTTAATTTCCACAAAGATGAAGAGGCACAGACCTGAGACTCTAGCCATCCAGAATGTCATCATTTTCATTCACAGAAATATATGTTTTTCGGCTCGGCGCCTATAGTTCAACCAGCTAAGGCGCCAGCCACGTACACCTAAGGTGATGGGTTCGAATCCCCAGCCTGGACCCGCCAAACAACAGTGACGGCTGCAACCAAAAAATAGCTGGGTGTTGTGGCGGGTGCCTGTGGTCCCAGCTACTTGGGAGGCGGAGGCAGGAGACTTGCTTGAGCCCCGGAGTTGGAGGTTGCTGTGAGCTGT